ATTCCTGTGTGTACTACTTATTCTTTGGAGCAGTTGGCGAAGATTTATATCCGGGAGATTGTTCGTCTGCATGGTATTCCAGTTTCCATCATTTCCGATAGGGGTACTCAGTTCACATCACGATTCTGGAGGGCCATTCAGCATGAGTTGGGTACTCGGGTGGAGTTGAGTACAGCATTTCACCCTCAGACGGACGGACAGTCCGAGCGCACTATTCAGATTCTTGAGGATATGCTCTGTGCGTGTGTGATTGAGTTTGGAAGGTCTTGGGATCAGTTCTTGCCATTGGCGGAGTTTGCCTACAACAACAGCTATTAGTCTAGCATTCAGATGGCACCGTACGAGGCTTTATATGGTAGGCGATGTAGATCCCCGGTAGGTTGGTTTGAGCCGGGTGAGGCCAGATTATTGGGCACAGACTTGGTTCAAGATGCTTTGGAGAAGGTTAAGGTGATTCAGGATAGACTCCGTACAGCCCATTCCAGACAGAAGAGCTACGCAGACCGAAAGGTTCGTGATGTTTCCTATATGGTTGGAGAGCGGGTTCTGCTTCGGGTTTCGCCTATGAAGGGCGTTATGAGATTTGGGAAGAAAGGGAAGTTGAGTCCGAGGTTTATTGGATATTGAGGCGTGTTGGGGATGTTGCTGATGAGCTTGCCTTACCTCCCGACTTGGCAGGAGTTCATCCGGTATTTCATATTTCTATGCTCCAGAAGTATCACGGGGATCCGTCGCACGTGTTGGATTTCAATTCAGTCCAGCTGGACAAGGATCTATCTTATGCTGAGGAGCCAGTAGCAATATTGGACAAGCAGGTTCGAAAGATAAGGTCAAAGAACATTGCATCAGTGAAGGTTCAGTGGCGGGGCCAGCCGGTTAAGAGGCGACCTGGGAGACCGAGCAGGATATGCACAGTCGTTACCCTCATCTTTTCATTACTTCAGATATGTCTTTATGCTCGTTCGAGGACGAACGAATGTTTAAGTATGGGAGGATGTAACGACCCGACCAGTCGTTTTAAGAATTTATGCCCCGATCCCCCATTAACTGCTTTTTCCGTGTTTGCTTATGCTATTGTGAGTTGCCAGGAGGAATTTTTGGGAGTTTCGGAGAGTTTTGGGACACTTAGTCCCTAAATGAGAGCTTAAGTTCTAGAAATTTGACCGTAGTCAGAACAGTGTGAAGACGGCCTCGGGATGGAATTCTGATGGTTCCGTTAGCTCCGTTGGGTGATTTTGGGTTTAGGAGCGTGTTCAGATTGTGTTTTGGAGGTCCATAGCTAATTTAGGCTTGAAATGCCGAAAGTTGAATTTTTGAAGTTTCCGGTTCGATAGTGAGATTTTGATCCGAGGGTCGGAATAAAATTCCGGAAGCTGGAGTAGCTCTATAGTGTCGAATGTGATGTGTGTGCAAAATGTCAGGTCATTCGGACGATGTTTGATAGACTTTTTGATCGAAAGCGTATTTTGAGAGTTTTTGAAGTTCTTAGGCTTGAATCCGATGCTAAATTGGTGTTTTGATGTTGTTTTGAGCGTTCCGAAGATTGAAACAAGTTTGAATGATGTTTTAGGATTGGTTGGCATGTTTGGTTGAGGTCCCGGGGGCCTCGGGTGTGTTTCGGATGCTCAACGAGGCATTTTGGAACTTGTTGAAATTGTAGAAAAATTGCAGCAGCCCAGTTCTGGTTTCCTTCTTCGCGTTCGCGAGTAGGGTCTCGCGTCCGCGAAGAGGAGCTGGGGCTGGGGGAGAATTAATGCCTCACGTTCGCGAAGGTTCTCCCGCATTTGCGAAGCTGGGAGGTTTCACACCTACCCGTTCGCGATGGTGTTCTCGCGTTCGCGTAGGAGGAGGAGGTTTTGCATCGCGTTCGCGTCCTGTGTATCGCGTTCGTGATGAAGGAATCTGGGCCCAAGCGAATTTGTGCTTCGCGAACGCGAGGGGCCTTCCGCGTTCGCGAAAAAGGGATATCTGGGCAGTATTTAAATAGCCCATCAGCGACCCTTCTTCATTTTTCCACCATTTTTGAACGAGATTGAAGCTTTTGAAAGTGATTTTTGAGGAAACCAAAGGAGAATCACTTGGAGGTAACATTTTTGACTTCATAACTCGTTTATATGTGATTAAAGGTCTAATTAGTGGTAAAAAACTTGGGAAAAACACATCCATAAGGGAAAAAAATGTTCTCTCTACTTTTTCTCTCCGACTTGGGAAACGTGCACCTAACCTTTCTCTCTCTCTGATCTGTCACTCTCACCGGCAAGACCTCTCAACGGTTTTAGCCAATTTTATTATGGGAGAAAAGGTCTTTTTCACCTATGAAGACAAATCCTTTGAAATCACTGATATTAGTGAGGGCTAAAGCAGGTGGTTTCTTTTTATTGAACACAATAGGCGTTTCACCGGTAAGTTAAAAATTGATGAAAGCAACTTGAGATGGGTCTGTCATAACCTGAAGCAGGCATCAAGGGGTCAAGGAGATCTTTACAGAAGATGGGGATGAAGCAACAAGATCTTTTGCATAGAGTACCAGAATTACAATATCCATGGGCGCTTCATCAGAATAGAAAAATGGCTGGGAAATAGAAACTCGGCAATTATAATCTCGGAGGTTGATTACAACGTGGGCTGGTGCGAAATCGCCAACAAAATTCTCAGGTTCTTAGGCAAGCCATCCAGCCCAAACCTCCAAAGATTCACCACTCCTGATTTCTCTTACATTGAAGCCGCGAGCATTCAAAAATGGCCAGAAATAGCAGCTCAAATTCAGGTCTCGTCAGATATCTCGTCAGAGGAAACCAGTTTGAAGCTCATCAAATACCTTTCCTGCTGCCTTGTGGGCTTCTTTAACGACCTCTTCTGCTCAAGCCCTAGTGCAAAGATCATTCAACGTTCCTGAAGAGATGGAGGATGACAGCGGGGTTGATAGTTACACCACTTTCGCCCAACTATTTTCTTTTCCAGTTCCCTTCTAGACAAGAAGCAGAGAGAGTTAAAATTGGTGATTGGTTTGGAATGGGCGAAGACTCACTCTTGATTGGTGGTCTCCGGCTACCAGAGCTAAAGCTACAGTGGCAAAATCAAAATCACCGATGGATTAGGGCTTTCGGTATTCCTTTACATGCATGGTCGGAAAGCACTCTGAAGCACATTGGTGACAAGTGTGGCGGCTATATCGATGCAGATGAGGATACGAAGAAGAGAAATCATTTGTTATGGGCTCGCATATGTGTTAGGAATGGTGCACACGAGATTCCAAACAAGATTGATCTGGTTGTAGGGGAATGGGCTTTCGAAATCTCTATCATCACTGATACCATCGTTAAGCACGTCGATGAAGCCGGCGCCGGAGATGGAAAGATGAAGAAGAAGATTGATCTTCGGTCCTGTGACCTTTGGTCTAAAGAAGCATCCACATCAAACTTCACGCCTCATATGTCATCAGATTATAAAATTCAAAAGGATATTAGGGTTGGGCCTACTAATGTTAAGTTAGTGGCCCAACATAAGGCTAAGGGCCCAAAACCCAATCTGTCTCTGGACCAAACTTATTATTCTAAAAGAAAGAAGGGAAAAGGGTTTAGTGACTTTTCAAAAGGGATGCAAAGGCAGGAATGGAGAGCAACTAGGCCAGTTAATGGCCCAATAAAAGCTGCAGGAGAGAGAAATAAATAAGTTATTAATCCCAAGCCCCCCTCTTCGGTGGCCCCTGTATCTGATTCTGAACTTGTAGCTTCAGGCGTTGGAGAAGATGAAGCCGATGATGAAGCAGACCACATTCAATCTCTTCCTCTTCTCAAACTTCCATCATTGCAACGGGAATTAATTATGGCAAATGCTTCAGACACTGCCTTCTCCGACCTTTCCTCTCCTTCTGGCAGTGACACCCTATTCCTTCCCTGGCATGGCAACACTTCCCATGGGAAACAAACGGTTCATACTCCAGCGGTAATTGAGACATCCCAATGGACCAAGATAGTCATGGCCAAGGCATGCAAGGCTTTCGAGGTAAATTCGGCAGGCTTCGAGCATGAGATATTTGATATGATTCTAAGAATGGAGGAAAAAAGACGATCTCAACTCCAACAACAAAGGGGGAATAAAAATGGGGACAAAAAATCAAAGAAGGGTAAAAGTGAAGCTCAGAAACTGGTATGCACTGTGAACTATGACAAAGGTGGAGGTTCAGACAGGGGCAGGTACCACAAGGCATTCTCTGAATGAAAGTCAAGCTTATCAGTTGGAATATTAGGGGGCTCAATGATATGAGCAAAAGAAATACCATCAAGTCACTTATACAAAAATGGAGGCCGGACATTCTTTGCCTTCAGGAAACAAAGACTGAACTTTTTTCTGTGGCTATAGCTAGAGAATTATGGGGCTCTAGATGGGTAGAATGGGTGGAGTTGAAAGTCAGCGGCACTAGAGGAGGTATAGTTGTCTTATGGGATAGAAGACTTTGGAATTGCGTTGATTCAAAGCAAGGGAAACATTCTATCTCGGCTATGCCAAAAGGAATTCAGGTAGACATTAGACTCTGTTTCACTGGAGTCTATGGGCCTCACTCTAATTGGGAGAGGGTGGATTTCTGGAACGAATTAGCTGCAGTAAGAGGGCTCTGGGATGAAAACTGGATTGTAGGGGGAGACTTTAATGTTTGTAGATTCGAGAGTGAAAGATTCAATTGTATTAGAAGATCAAGGGCTATGAAAAGCTTCTCTGGCTTTATTCAAGATATGGGCTTAGTTGATCTTCCATTGCAGGGAGCCTTTTACACGTGGTCGAGGGGGGAAAACTCTTTGCAGGCCTCCAGAATATATAGGTTCTTGATATCCTCAGAATGAAATGATCTCTTTGGCTCTGTAAAGCAATTAGCCCTCCTTATGGTTGTTTCTGATCACAGGCCAATTGTGTTAGAAAGTGGTGACTGGTCTACTGAACCCTCTTATATCAAATTCGAAAATATGAGGTTACACCAAGAAGGGTTTACTGACATGGTAAAACAATGGTGGCACGGCTATGTGATAAATGGTTCTCCTGATTTTATTCTTTCTCAAAAGCTGAAATTCTTGAAAAGAGACCTAGTCATATGGAACAGGGAAGTCTTTGGCAAAATCAGCACCAGAACAAATAAAGCATTGGAAGAACTTCTGATCCTAGAGCAAGCAACTGAAGGAAGGGTGCAGACTCAAACTGAAAAAGAGTAAGATCCTGCAATTGAAAATGGACATACAGCAGTTAGTTAAATCAGAAGAAACATCATGGAAACAAAAATCAAGATATTTATGGTTGAAAGAGGGTGACAGAAATACTAAATACTTTCAAAGGATAGCTAACTCCCATAGGAGATACAATTGCATTGATAGACTACAGGTGGGGAGGATATCATTGAAGATAAAGCGCAGGTGAAAGAGGTGATTCTTGTTTTTTATCAAGAACTCTACTCAGAGAGTGAAAACTGGAGACCTGGTGCAACATTTGAAGGTCTTGGAAGACTAAATGCAGAGGAAAAGGATAGTCTTGAACATATTTTGAGGAAGAGGAAGTGTGGAATGCTATCAGTTCTTGTGCCCCGGACAAGAGCCCTGGACCCGATGGTTTTACAATGGCTTTTTTTTCAAAAGTGTTGGGACACTATAAAACAGGATCTCATGGGAACCTTCAACCACTTTCACAACAATTGTCACATGGTTAAATCATTCAATGCCTGTTTTATTGGTCTTATTCCTAAAAGAAAAGGGGCAATTGAACTCAAAGATTTTAGGCCCATCAGTCTCATTGGTAGTGTCTACAAGATAGTGGCAAAGGTCCTAACTGCTAGGCTAAAAAAGGTGATTGGGAGGCTGGTCTCGGGGTACCAAAATGCATTTATCAAAGGTAGGCAAATCACTGATGCCGCCCTCATTGCTAATGAAGTGCTAGATTGGAGACAAAAAAGTGGTGAACCTGGTCTTCTATTCAAGCTGGATATTGAGAAAGCTTTTGACAAACTAAATTAGCAATATCTAATTTCAATCCTAAGACAAATGGGATTTGGAGAGAAATTGATCAAATGGATCAGATATAGCTTCACCACAGTGAAGTACTTTGTGCTCATTAACAGAAGCCCTATAGGCTTCTTCTCTCCTAAAATAGGGATCAGGCAAGGAGACCCCCTATCTTCCTTTCTATTCATCCTAGCCATGGAGGGGCTTAGTAGAATGCTAGAAAAGGCCAAGCAGATGCAATGGTTACAAGGTTTTGATGTGGGTAGCAACTCGGGATTGACAGTTTCTGTATCACACCTATTATTCGCAGATGACACTCTTATTTTTTGTGGGGCAGATAAATCTCAAGTTCAGTTTCTTAACCTCACTCTTATGCTTTTTGAAGCCATGTCAGGCTCCACATTAACATGTCTAAAAGCATTATTTTCCCCGTTAATGTGGTTCCTGAGCTGGAAGAGTTGGCAGATATTATGTATTGCAACACTGGTTCCTTCCCTACCTCATATCTTGGTCTTCCTTTGGGTGCCAGTCAAAGATCAAGTGAAATATGGAATGCAGTTGTTGAAAAGTTTGAGAAAAGGTTAGCTTCTTGGCAGCAACAGTACCTATCTCTAGGTGGCAGATTAACACTAATCAATAGTGTTTTGGATAGCATACCTACCTATTTCATGTCCCTCTTTCCAATGCCAGTCAAAGTGCAAAAACACCTTGACAAGATTAGGAGACCTTTCCTACGGGAAGGTAATAGCTCCAGCCACAAATTCCACCTAGTCAAATGGGCCAAAGTCACACTTCCTAAAACACTAGGAGGTCTTGGGGTCAAAGACCTAGCACTTCACAACAAGAGCATGTTAATGAAATCGCACTGGAGGTATAACCAAGAAGATGCTGGCCTTTGGAAGGAGATAGTTCAAGCAAAGTATGGGGCTAATAGTCACTGGTGTACCAATGCTGTCAGAACACCTTATGGTAGTGGGTTATGGAAGGGTATCAGGAGACTATGGGATGACTTCTCTTGCAACACATCTCTTCAGGTGGGAAACGGGGCACTCATTCAATTCCGGAAAGACAAATGGCTGGGACACACTACTCTAAAGGAGGCCTTTCCAAGACTATTCCTAGTTGCAACCAACCCAGATTCTACAATTGCTCAAAACAGGGAGGACGACACATGGAGACTGAACCAGAGAAGAGACCTAAATGACTGGGAGATTGAGGACCTATTTGCACTTCTTGAAAGCCTCCAAAACAGCTCTTTCAACACCCAGAGCAGAGACAAACTCAAGTGGGCCAATAGCAGGGAAGGCACTTATTCAGTGAAAGCAAGTTATCTTCAGTTAAGCTCCAACAAAGACTTAATTGATCAATGGCTTTGGAAGCTTGTCTGGAGAGCAAAATTACCACCAAAAGTCACATGCTTCAGCTGGATCACTTTAAAGAGAGCATGCTTAACTCACGATAATCTCATTAGGAGGAATTTTCAACTACCTAACAGATGTTACATGTGTCTTTGCAACCCAGAGACAATTAATCACCTGTTTCTTCATTGCCCAGTTGCGACAAGTATATGGAACATGTTTTTGTCACTTTTTGGACTGCACTGGACTATGCCATGCAATGTCAGGGAGGCTTTCTTGAGTTGGAATGCCTGGAGAGTTGGGAAGTCCATCAAAAGTATATGGTCTATGATTCCTGCTTGTATTTTGTGGTGCATATGGACAGAAAGGAATCATAGATGTTTTGATGGCATTTCAACTGCCAACCATGCACTCAAGGCCAAATGTTTAGTTAATCTTTTTAGTTGGGTTAAATTTAGACCTGTATATAACCCTGACTCTTATTTGGAATTTATCAGCGCCTTAGTCTTACAATAGTTTTTTTTTGTCATTTGGGCTAATATTTCCCTTCTTTTGTAACCTATGCATCCCCTGGATGCTTCTTGTTAATGAAATACAACTTATTTCATCAAAGAAAAACTTGGAAAAAATGGGTAATTAGGGCTTGAGATTAAGAGACCTTAACATGGGTATTTGAGGGGTCAATTGAACTCCGATTTCAGTGTTCTTGTTATGTATAGACTCGTGAGAGTATGAGAATTCTGAAAATGTAAATTTCACCCGATTCCGAGACCTGGGCCCGAGGGGCGTTTTGGTCATTTTACCTAATTTCGCGTATTAGCTTAGAATTTATTTGTAGAATCAGTTACTTGAAGTGTTATTTACATTATGCAGTTGAATTGAATAGATTTGGGCCATTTGGAGTCGAGTACTCGTGGCAAGAACGCGGTTTCGAGTTGACTTTTGAGCCGGTTCGAGGTAAGTTGCTTGCCTAACCTTGTGTGGGGGACATTCCCCTTAGAATTTGGTATTGTGTTAACTGAAATGCTTGTACGTGAGGTGACGAGTGCGTACTTGTGCTAATTGTTGAAAATCATGTTTTCACTTAAGTAGATTTAATTGTGTTTTCCTTTCCTGCTTACTCTACTTGAAAGTTAAATCTGTTGTTAGCTTAAAAAGGCATGTTTAATTTACTTAATTGCTTTATTGCTTAAACTGACGTAATTGTATTATGTGAAGCATGTTAGGTTAGAATTACCTGTTTTACTTGGTACGAAATTCAGCTAAATTGAGTATTCCTTGTGTTGTTGTTGTGTGTTTTACCTTGGGACTACGGGACGGCATCCCGGGAGATCCCCTGTACGTATTTATGATTTGAGTTGAGGTGCGGGATACCGAGAGATCCCTAGCACGTATACTGAGGATACCAAGAGATCCTCGGGATACCAAGAGATCCCTAGCATATAATGAGGATACCAAGAGATCCTCGGGATACCAAGAGATCCCTAGCATGTATTGAGGGTAGACTAAGAGATCATCGGGATACTGAGAGATCCCCGGTTATTATCTTTGAGAAGAGTGGTATTCCTTGTGATTGTTCCTGTTTCTGTTTCAGTTATAGTTATCCTTATTATCCTGTATTGATTCTTATTATTATCTTTCAACTGTACTGCTTTATCTTATACTGTCGCACCTTACATTTCATTTAATCTCAGTAGGGCCCTGACCTTCCTCGTCACTACCCGATCGAGGTTAGGCTTGGCACTTACTGAGTACCGTTGTGGTACACTCATGCCCTTTCTGTGCATGTTTTTCATGTGTAGATCCAGGTACCTCCACTCAGACTCATCATGCTTGACGAGGCGCTTGTAGAGACTCCGAGGTATATCTGTCGCGTCCGCAGACCGAAGAGTCCCTTTTTACTCCCCTTTTTTAGTATTAGCCCTTCTGTATTTTCCTTTCCTTTGTTAGATATTCTGGAGTTAGATACTTGTAGACATTCAAATGCTTGTGATCATGAGATTCCGGTTTTTGGGAAATGTATTCAGATTTCGAGAGTTGTTATTGTGTATGCCGAGCGGCACTTTTAAACACTGTTTTATTTCACTATTTCGGTTTTATTATTTCTTCCGCAATTTTTTTTATTTTCCGCATTGTTAGGCTTACCTAGTCGTAGAGACTAGGTGCCGTCACGATGGTTCACGGAGGGGGAACCGGGGTCGTGACAGTCCATTATTGGAAGTTGGAACTGGACGGACAAAGAATATGGTTATCGGCAAGAGCTAGGGGGGAAAAGTCCTGATCTCTGGGGACTTAACAAAGAGGTATAATTTCCAATGACCGAATCTGAATGAAAGAGGGTCAAGGTGTTTTGCAGGCAGTAACAGTCTCGTGGGTTCAAATGAAGAAAACGTTTAAAACTTGATACTGCAAATATTACAAGAAGTGGTTAGAAGGCACTAAGAGAATCAAGGGAAGTACGATCAGAAAAATAGTTCTGAAACTAGGTGGTCCAAAACAATTGAAAATAATATCTACTATACAAATATTATTATGCACAAGGATTGAGTGGACTACTTACTGCTAAGATAGTCCGGCTTAATTGAAGAACAATGTAGCTCTCTCTTTAATAACAGAGACATATCACAGAAAAAGATATAGGTAATAAAAAGAGGACTAACAACCAAACAACGACGATAATCAGATCTGATCAAAAGACTTAACCAAAGTAACACAATCACAGCCTTAGGAATCTTACAAGATAAGTAGATATAGTATTAACACAGAAAAAGCTAGACTTCCTGAGAGATTTCCAGTTTTCCCAAGCCTAACAATGTACTGTGCCCGACTGGAAGTCAGCTTATGGCTCACCATTGCCTTTAAAAGAAAGGCTTAAACAATAATTTTTAGCGTTAGATGGCAATCATCTGATGGAAGGTAATTTTTTCTTTCCAGGAATAGATGGAGGTTCCTATTTCAAGCAAACAGACATTATTTTGGACGACCCAACAAGAAATGGAGAAATTTATTTTGGTAGAAACGGTTAAAGCACACTGGTCAGTAGGACATCAGTCAAAAGCCTAACATTAGGGCTCTCAGAATTCCTCTTTAACTACCATAATATCAAAAAGAAGTTGGGTATCTTTCAATTTGTCACCAAGTATTGTTCACGGGCACGGTCACAAGTACCAGCAGCAGGAGCGATGAGCCAAGGTGTTTTACTTGTTATGGAGAGAAGCATAAGCCTTAAGGGACTCAAGTCCCATTAATTTTATATTTTAACACATTATTTTAGTCTAAGCAGTTAAAGCATACTGGCTAGTAGGACATCAGTCAAAAGCCTAACATACTCTCAGGATTCCTCCTAACTGCCAAACTACCAAGGAAAGATCCTCCGCAATTTCAAAAAGAAGTTGGGCATCTTTCATTTGTCACCAAGTATAGTTCACGGGCATGGTCACAGGTACCGACAGCAGGAGCAATGAGACAAGGTGTTTTACTTGTCATGGAGAAAAGCATAAGCCTTAAGGGGACTTAAGTCCCACGAATTTTATATTTTAAGCAGACATTATTCTGGTCTAAGCGGTTAAAGCATACTGGCATCAATCAAAAACCTAACATTATGGATCTTAGAATTCCTCCTAACAGCCAAACTTCCAAGAAAGATCCTCTACAATTTCAAAAAGAAGCCGGGTATCTTTCAATTTGTCACCAGGTATTATTCACGGGCATGGTCACAGATACCGACAGCAGAAGCGAGGAGACAAGGTGTTTTACTTGTCAGGAAGAGAAGCATAAGCCTTAAGGGAACTTGAGTCCCATGAATTTTATATTTTAAACAAACATTATTTTGGTAGAAACGGTTAAAGCGTACTGGCCGGTAGGACATCAATCAAAAGTCTAACATTAGGGCTCTTAAAATTCCTGCCAAACTTCCAAATAAAAGATCCTCTACAATTTCAAAAAGAAGTTGGCTATCTTTCAATTTGTCACCAAGTATTGTTCACGGGCATGGTTCACTAGTACCGACAGCAGGAGCGATGAGACAAGGTGTTTTACTTGACATGGAGAGAAGCATAAGCCTTAAGGGGACTTGAGTCCCACGAATTTTATATTTTAAACAAACATTATTCTGGTCTAAGCGATTAAAGCATACTGGCTAGTAAGGCATCAGTAAAAAACCTAACATTATGGCTCTCAGAATTCCTCCTAACTGCCAAACTTCCAAGAAAGATCCTCTACAATTTCAAAAAGAAGTCGGGTATCTTTCAATTTGTCACCAAGTATTATTCACGGGCATGGTCACAGGTACCGACAGCAGGAGCGATGAGACAAGGTGTTTTACTTGTCATGGAGAGAAGCATAAGCCTTAAGGGGACTTAAGTACCATGAATTTTATATTTTAAACATTTTTAAAATTGAAATTAAATTAAACAAAAAAAAATTTATATATATATATATATATATATATATGTA